GAGAATGCAAAAGAGTGGGATGGGGAAGGAGTGTATGAAATATTAAATTAGGGATGGAGAATGTGGACATGTAAGTTAGGAATAATGAGTCAAATGGTGGGTTAAGGGATTTTTAAGAGGGGGACTCGAGATTGTGATAATGAAAATGGGTTAGAAATTGTAAAAGGATGGAATAGGGATTGTGAGTAAGAGGTTGGCATTATGACCATAAGACTGTGACAATAAGAGGGCATGTATGAGATTGGAATTGTGAGAAGCTGGGGCACAGATTGTCAATATGAGCTGGTGACCTGAGGATTATGAGATGAACTAGGAATTATAAGAGGGGTGAAATGAGGATTCTGAGAGGGTAAAATGGGGATTGTGAGAGGGTAGGTTTGGGAACATAAATATGAGAAGGGCGAGTGAGGAACATGAATATGGAATAGATTCGTGTGAAAAAGTACCATCTGATCCCACTAATTAGTCTCCATTGATTTATTCCATTGTATAACTAAATAAAAAAATAGATAAACTATTACATTTATTCTCATGTTTTATTTTTACTACTGAACAAGGTTTAACTATATTATATGACTAAGTTTATTAAAAATGAAGTAATATGATTTCCATATCATTGCAATTTGACAAATGAGAGATAAACTGCCATTTTTTGTATTTAAATTGCCACTGAAATGCCTCTGCATTAGCAATCTCTACTCTGCTTCTCATCTTGCTATCAACATGCATGCTGTATTGTATTAAAGTAATTTACTTCTCATTTATGTGTGATTGGGACCAGCTGTAAGGTGGGACCAGTGTCTACTGGTAATTTGTACAAGTGATGGTTTTATAAAAAGGTTGAGTGGTAACATTCAGATCAGAGAAAGCATTCCTTAATGGTGCCTGTGCCTTTGTTACACTGTCAAGAATCTATGCTTATGCCTCCATTAATCTCGGATTAACTTTTTTCATAATATATCAATTGAGAGCGAGTTTTGAAGAATTTTTTTTAGAAGCACAAGCATAGGCCTACCTTTAATATTCATGCATTGCACTCATATCTTGATCATACAGCATTCAATTTGACCTTTTATATCTATTGCAGAAATTTGTTCAACTTTTTTTTTTTTTACCCAGACTCAATAAAATTAAGCAATTATTATATTTCAAGAAAAGGTGAGTTTGGCATCTGTATGACCAAGGCAAAGTGTTTCACAGTAACTAAGTTTAACAAAATGGGACAAAGGTCTGTAAATTTCATGCACCAATCATGTATAATAGGAAATTAAATTCAGTTAATTAAATCAACATCAAAGTAGCCACAGTGGCATGGAGTGGAAACTGACACATAATATTATAACTACCTAACATTTGAGATATTCTTCACATATACATGGAAAAAAAAAAAAAATTATATATATATATATATATATATATATATATATATATATATATATATATATATATATATATATATATATATATATATATATATATAATAATATATATATGTATGTTAAATATGACCGAAAAAGTAAGATTAATAATTTTAATACAAATTCTCAATATTTGTTGTTTCCTTTTACTGTCGATGGTAATTGAAATATCAATTCTCCAAAATTCATTTTTATTTCTAGTCTGGCACGACACTTGAACGCGTTTCATAATAACTTATTGCATTTTCAAAGACTTTAGTTTACACACACAACTGTAACCTGAAAACACTAAACAGAGTTTTACTTAATGCTAACATTTAACAGCTTGTCTTATATACTCGCATTTGGGTGAGGTGATATGTTGCAACAGTTTTGGATGAGGTGAACAAACTTTTGACCAACACAAGACAGAACATAGTGCAATGGGTATAAATTGGATAAATGAGAGGGAAGAATGGAAGTAACTGCAAAGGGCCTATTGACCCATACTTCCTCTTGATGCTTCTATATTGGTACGGAGTCTTGAAGTGGGTAGAATATAGTTGTGCATTAATTGGCTGTTGATTGCTGGTGTTGACTTCTTGATGTGTAGTGCCTCGCAGATGTCAAGCTGCCTGCTATCGCTGTATCTATCGATGATTTCTGTGTTGTTTGTTAAGACTTCTCTGGTGATGGTCTGGTTGTGGGAAGAGATTATATGTTCCTTAATGGAGCCCTGTTGCTTATGCATTGTTAATCGCCTGGAAAGAGATGTTGTTGTCTTGCCTATATACTGAGTTCTTTGGGGCTTACAGTCCCCAAGTGGACATTTGAAGGCATAGACGATGTTGGTCTCTTAAGGCGTTCTGCTTTGTGTCTAGAGAGTTTTTCATGAGTAGGTTGGCCATTTTTTTGGTTTTATAGTAAATCGTCAATTATCTTCTGATTTTTGTCTGTAGGGATAACGTTCCTATCAACAATATCTTTCAGGTCCCTTTCCTCTGTTTTATGAGCTGTGGAAAAGACGTTCCTGTAAAAATACTGTAGTCTAATATGGGGTACAGGTGTTGTGTTAGTTGACTCTTCAGAGGTTGCATGATGTTGCACTTTCATTTTTTATGATGTCTTCAACGAATCCATTGGAGAAGGTGTTGTTGACTAGGACCTGCCCTACCCTACTAAGGGAGCCGGTCGGCCGAGCGGACAGCACGCTCGACTTGTGGTCCTGGGTTCGATCCCAGGTGCCGGCGAGAAACAATGGGCCGAGTTTCCTTTCACCCTATGCACCTGTTACCTAGCAGTAAAATAGGTACCTGGGTGTTAGTCAGCTGTCACGGCTGCTTCCTGGGGGTGGAGGCCTGGTCGAGGACCGGGCCGCGGGGACACTAAAAGCCCCGAAATCATCTCAAGATAACCCTACAGAGTTCTTCATCGACTTGCTTCCATCCTGAGCTGTGGCTGAAAGCACGGTCGACGTAAGCGTTGACAACACTCCTCTTGTACCTGTCTGGGCAGTCACTGCTGGCATTGAGGCACATTCCTATGTTTGTTTCCTTAGTGTAGACTGCAGTGTGGAAACCTCTGCTTCTTTCCATGACTGTTACATCTAGAAAGGGCAGTTTCCCATCCTTCTCCATCTCGTAAGTGAAACTCAATACAGAATTCCGTTTGAATGCCTCCTTCAGCTCCTGCAGACGTCTGACATCAGGTACCTGTTTAAAATTGTCGTCAACATACCTGCAGTATATGACAGGTTTCAAGTTCATGTCAACTAAGACATGTTCGATGGTACCCCATGTAGAAGTTCGCAAACAGGACACCTAGGGGAGAACCCATGGCGACCCCATCTACTTGCTTATACATGTGCCCATCTGGGCTTAAAAGCTTCCTAGAAGGTTGTAACAGATCCCATGAGCACCACACCAGAAACAAAAACCTATTTGATATTCCAAGAGTACGACTTAATCAAACTAGAAATGCTTTACAAATCAAGGGACCTCGAATGTGGAATGACCTTCCCAATTATGTTAAAGACTGTACCTCTCCCAACCAGTTTAAGATAAAAACTAAGTACTACCTAATTAACTCAATGTAACCTACCTCACCCCTAAATGTCAACCCATGTCTACGATTTTAAACAATGCTGTTTGTTGACCAAATTGTATTTTTGTTTTTTTTCTGCCATGTTCCCCCCCCCTTTTTTTTTATTTTTTCTCAACACAATTTATACTTTAATCTTAGTTAGTATTAAGTTTTAGTCTTAGTGTTTTTCCTGCCCGAAATGCTTTGCGTAATAGTGGCTTTAGGCATTGTATGTATTAGCTCTATCTATAAATCCATCAACTTTTGTATTTCACCTTTTATGTATGTACTTTACCTGAATAAATATTTGTATTTGTATTTGTTTTGTAAATGCCCACTTGGGGACTGTAAGCCCCAAAGAACTCAGTATATAGGCAAGACAACAACATCTCTTTCCAGGCGATTAACAATGCATAAGCAACAGGGCTCCATTAAGGAACATATAATCTCTTCCCACAACCAGACCATCACCAGAGAAGTCTTAACAAACAACACAGAAATCATCGATAGATACAGCGATAGCAGGCGGCTTGACATCTGCGAGGCACTACACATAAAAAACTCAACACCAGCAATCAACAGCCAATTAATGCACAACTATATTCTACCCACTTCAAGACTCCGTACCAATATAGAAGCATCAAGAGGAAGTATGGGCCAATTGGCCCTTTTGCAGTTACTTCCATTCTTCCCTTTCATTTATCCAATTTATACCCATTGCACCGTGTTCTGTCTTGTGTTGTTCAAAAGTTTGTTCACTTCATCCAAAACTGTTGCAACATATCACCTCACCCAAATGCGAGTATATAAGACAAGCTGTTCAATGTTAGCATTAAGTAAAACTCTGTTTAGTGTTTTCAGGTTACAGTTGTGTGTGTGTAAACTAAAGTCTTTGAAAATGTAATAAGTTATTACGAAACGCGTTCAAGCGTCACGTCAGACTAGAAATAAAAATGAATTTTGGAGAATTGATTTTTCAATTACCATCGACAGTAAAAAGAAACATAAGACATATTGAGAAAATTTGTGGTAGAATTATTAATCTTACTTTTTCGGTCATATTTAACAACATATGTTTACAAGAAAGACTGCTACCAAAATATACTAATATATATATATATATATATATATATATATATATATATATATATATATATATATATATATATATATATATATATATATATATATATATTATATTGTATATATATATATATATGGAACTGGGAGTCAACTACGCCAGAGTTTTTTCTTTTACAAAGACATTATGTTTGTTTTTAAGGATCTTCAATTTCTATTGTGTACTGAAATTAAGTTACAAGAGTGCTTAAGATGTTGGATAATTTTATACTCATGAATATACAAAATAGGCAGAAGTATTACTTATTTACTCCACTACAATTAACGAAGAAAATTTTTGGTGTTGATCAGAATAATATATTCATCTGGTGTAGTTGTGATTCATAGAAATTGCACACTGGGAAAAGGGGGATTACAGGGGGAAGATGTGCCTGGACGGACCCTTGTGACTCTGTGCAGGACGAGGAGTCGAGGCGGTAGTGTCGGTCAGCTTCTGTCTCGCTCATCCGAATCTCCTCAGACCCTGAAGGCGACATGTGACGTGATGGATGATGCTCAAGTTGGCGTATCAAATCCTCCAGGTTACGAATCCTGATTGGGCCACATGGGGGTACCTGCTCATCTTCTCCTCCAGAATCAGCTAATTTTTCATGCGACGCTTTCAGTCTCGTGAACTCTGCAGCCCCACCAATAGCTGAAGCACCAGGTGAAAAGCGTGGATAGGTGTCATGATGAGCAGTGTGTAACTCATCAGAAGACATTGAAGTGGCTCCAGAGCGGTGGGATGCTGCTCTCTTCAGAGCATCAATGATGTCCTCGTGGTAGCCATTGAGACTCTTAAGAGTCCGTTCAACTTCAGAGACTTGGCACTCGGGATCAGCATTGTTATCACTCTGACTGAGGACATCGTTGTTGTCGCTCTGGGACTCCTCACCCCATTTCTCCTTCTCTGCTGGCGTGAGGAGGCCATATGATTTCTTCAGGATTCCCTTCTCGGGTATCTTGCTCAGGTTGTTAGATGGTAGCTCAATAAACGACACTGCCTCGTCCTCCCCTGGAAAGATTGAGACACGTCACCTCTACTCTCTTAACCTAAGCCCATATCCAAAGAAAATTACCGCATATGATGTCAACCCACCCTTATTGAGGCTAACAAGCCTCTCACTTGCCAATGACTTTAATTTATAAGTATTTTGAAACTATATGCAAATTTACATAATGCTTGATGACAGCTGACAGTCTTTGAGATGGAAAATTTATTTTTTCCTTTAAAAACAAAGGAAATCACGATGTTAACTTTTTTTAAAGATCTAACTTTCCTATAATAATTTGTCTCACTGATTTGGGGACGTGCCTCTCTTTCCAAGGGAAGGGTAGGAAAGGGTCATTCTTATTAGCAACCACACAATACATAATCAGCCATATTCTTAGCCATTATATAAAATACAAATGCTGTAAAGCCAATCATATTACTATTAATTCATAATTCATATTCCACGAATAACAAAATGACCAATTTTCCAATAAAACTGATGGCTAAGAATTGACTTGATATAATGGCAACAATACTACACTGAGAGCAGAAATAATACAAGCAAAGCATAAAATTGGAGATGTAGGGCAGAGGATTATTGATGAATGCATCGTAGTGTAAAAAGGTTTCAATAATATGTGACATGTTAACAATGAAGTAACCTGACAATTACTGTAATAAAAAATCAACACTGAATGTAATGAAATGCCAGTTTCTGGCTAAGCCTCGGGGGGCTCCCCTGAAGCTATCTATACTGCTTAAGTGCCATACTACTTGGAGTCATCAGTTGCAGAGTTCTTGTATGCATGCTAGGGACCAGAACCAGAACCTGGCCTCCTCAGAGAGGTGCAGTGAGCAATGGCCCATGAACACTTTCCATTTAAAGTTCATCATCGTGCAATCGACCAGAGAAGGCACCCAGAAAGGTAGGCGAATCAAAATTCACTACTGTCTGGTTGAAAAATGTGACCTACACCCTCTAAGGTATAAAATGAACTCCCAAGAAACAACCAACCAAACTTCGTCCAACTAGCCCCCACTTGTTAGCTCCACCCCTCTCTCATTGGGGGGGGGGGGGGGGAGCTCACCCAGCTACGATTAGCCAATTCTTGAATGATAAAAGCTGTTGACTGGAGGGAGGGAGGGCGTCAGGGAGCCTAAGGGACTCATCCCCAGAAATTGGTATTTCACTACATTCAACACTGGTTTTCTGTGAGGAGCCCATTGGCTTCTCTACCAAGAGAGAAGGAAAAATAGGAACTTACCAGGGAGGTGGCAGCATGGCACAAATCAACTCAAAGAAGAACCCATTAGCTATAACAGCCTTCTTCAAAGCAATAAGGCTACAGAGGGCCATGGACATTAACCAGATACTTGGCAGCCAGGATCCTGTTAGACCTCCAAAATCCGGGCCAGAATATCGTTCCAAGACATGTTCACAAATACCGACGACAGAGTGGCATACTTCTGCACATTATGGGCACGAGGGTAGACTGCAGGCTGGCTAGATTTAATGAGAGCTCTTCATGCTCTCATTAAATCTCTCTTTTCTCTTTTAAAAAGAGAATTTTAAATCTTAATTTAAAAATTTAAAAGAATTTAAAATATCTTTTAAATCTTAAGTTTCTCATGAAACTCTCCAACCTGACCACCAGAGGTCAAAGCCAACAAAAACAGAGCGTTCCAAAACCAGTCCCGGATGAAGGGGCCACCACAAACTGAGGCAAAGAAAAGAAAAGAAAAAAACCTCTTCCAAAGATCAAGCAGGCTCAGGTGGTGCATGAACAGGCCAGAGGTGAAAAAACACACGAGAAAGCTTGTGGAAATGGGTGCAAGTGATGGTCACACTGAACACAAGCTAAAGCAGCTCCAACACCGCAAGATAAGAAGCAACAGTATTCAGCATTAGACGCCAATCCAGAAAAAGCCAAGAAAGAAAAGACAAAACCCAGACAGACACAGAAGAAGCATGATGGAGAGAAAGAAAATGGCAGAAAGCCTGCGTATACACCTCAAGCTGTCGCTGAGAAGAAGATTGAAGGTGGGACACCATCAAACTTACCACCTGATCACCATACAAATGGCAATAGAAATATGTATCAGAAATACCAGACACATATTGAGGAAGGGAAGATCAAACCAGTGAGTTACTTCACCCACCTGACCTACTGATAAAGGCGGAGCTGTGGAAAAACACTTGGGTTTGGACACTGAGCAAACAGCACCTGAAACCAAGGCTGGGCCAACCACCATGGGGCCAGAGGAAGCACTCTTCCTCTGTAAGATTCCAGCCAAGCCAGAACTCAGAGCAAGAGCTGGACCTGGGAAAAGCGGTACAGGAACACTCATCTCGACCAGTCCAGCTGAAAAGCATCCACTGTGATTGACTCGCAGTCGGGGAATGGCGCCACGTATAGAAGAAGACGCCGAGACCAAGCTGATGTGAAGAGATCCACATCTGGGTGTCCGTACATCACATCTGGCAGAGCCAAAGGAAAGACTCGGCATTGACCGGACACCCCGTGGAACTTGGAATGAAGTGAGACAGGCCATCCGCCAGGATGTTTGGACATCCTCTGAACGTGAACGGTGCTGAGAGCTAATCCCCCAGAACTCAGCAGAAGAGCTACCTGAAGCAACCAGCTCCAAAGAGGCACGGACCAAATGGAGCACCCCTAGTTGAGACAATGAACAACAAGGAACAGTCCGAAGGAAGCCAAATCACCGAGCTTCAAGGAATCCGAACCCTCTGTAGCGCCTGCCACACTGCCACAAACTCCCATACGGTGCAATGAGCTCGACGAAAGGACAAGCCCCAATGCCCCTGGCCAAATTGGTGAGCACTGGGCACAAAGCCCCAACCAAGAAACACAGCATCTGTGAAAACATCGAGCGAGAGAAGGGAGGTGGTGCCATGGCACCGATCTCCGAAAAACACAAAGAGGAAGGTTGTGATGCAGCAACCGGTGCAGGGACACCAGAGAAAACTGTGGCCAGAGCGAGCCGATGACAGCCAGGCACGACATCAGTTAAGAACTGACTAATGGCACTAGACTCACCCAGGTCGGCTCCCCCCCTTTCCCCAATGAGAGGAGGTAGAGCTAAGGAGCAGGTGAGCTAGTTGGATGAAGTTTTGGTTGGATGTTTCTTGGTGGGGAAGTTCTTTTAAAACCTTATCCACCACACTCCTCTGCATTAAAATACGACACAACCTTGGTGCACCGAAAAAAAATTCTTTCCAAAAAAATATTTTCTCTTCTTATATTGTTAAAATGCAGTCTCTGGACAAGGGAAACTAAACAAAAATATTGTATGTGACATACTTTAGCCGCGATGGAGCTGGGAAGTTGAGCATATTATGGGCGCTAAGTGATGGAGCGCTCAAGGTCACTAGGCTTCGCCACCCCGTGGGGCGGCAGTTCCCAAGAATATAATGTTTCACAATTATTTTGATGTTTCTCATTCATTTCTTCTCTGGTTTTATGCTGTAATATTATTCAAAAGTAGTGTGTAATTTGCAGAATTTATATAGTTTAATGTGTGGAACATCACTGTGCTTAAAATTATGTAACATGTATATTATATTCTATGATCAATCAATCAAACAGGATTTTTGCTGCTATTACACTATATACACACACATTGTATATATCTATCTACATATGTGTTCGCCAGAGCGAACCACTAAGTTGGTATGGTGAGCCCAAAAAACAAAGAGTGGGCTGCCACACCCAGCCAGCCCTCCCTCACTCCTTCAACACCTAACTCGCCAACATTACTACTCCCACAATACTGTTTGTGGTGTTATTACACTATATACACACGTTATATATAAGTATCTACATGTTTTATTCACCATAACTGTACAACTAAGCTGGTATGGTGTCCAAAGAGCATACTGGCCACTGCATGACAAGGTCACACAGCAGACGACAGCCTCCCTCACTTAAATGGCTACTCCCAACATAAGCCTTTTGCTGTTATTACACTCTATACACACTTTATATATAAGTATTTACATTTGTGTTCACCATAGTGAACCACTAAGCTGGTATGGTGATTCCAGACAACAACATGTTGCCACACATCGAATTTACTCAGTTTCTATGATAGAGCAACAGATATATTACAGGAAAGAGATGGTTGGGTTGACTGCATCTATCTGGACCTAAAAAAGGCGTTTGACAGAGTTCCACATAAGAGGTTGTTCTGGAAACTGGAAAATATTGGAGGGGTGACAGGTAAGCTTCTAACATGGATGAAAAATTTTCTGACTGATAGAAAAATGAGGGCAGTGATCAGAGGCAATGTATCGGACTGGAGAAATGTCACAAGTGGAGTACCACAGGGTTCAGTTCTTGCACCAGTGATGTTTATTGTCTACATAAATGATCTACAGTTGGTATACAGAATTATATGAACATGTTTGCTGATGATGCTAAGATAATAGGAAGGATAAGAAACTTAGATAATTGTCATGCCCTTCAAGATGACCTGGACAAAATAAGTATATGGAGCACCACTTGGCAAATGGAATTTAATGTTAATAAATGCCATGTTATGGAATGTGGAATAGGAGAACACAGACCCCACACAACCTATATATTATGTGAGAAATCTTTAAAGAATTCTGATAAAGAAAGAGGTCTAGGGATGGTTCTAGATAGAAAACTATCACCTGAGGACAACATAAAAGAATATTGTGCGAGGAGCCTATGCCACACTTTCTAACTTCAGAATTGCTTTTAAATACATGGATGGCGATATACTAAAGAAATTGTTCATGACTTTTGTTAGGCCAAAGCTAGAATATGCAGCGGTTGTGTAGTGCCCATATCTTAAGAAGCACATCAACAAACTGGAAAAGGTGCAAAGACATGCTACTAAGTGGCTCCCAGAACTGAAGGGCAAGAGCTACGAAGAGAGGTTAGAGGCATTAAATATGCCAAAACTGGAAGACAGAAGAGAGGTGATATGATCACTACATACAAAATAGTAACAGGAATTGATAAAATCGATAG